TTTACATAGGAGGGAAGCGCGGGGGGGGGGGGGGGGGAATCAAAGTTTTGCCACATAATGCAACTGTTAAGTAAACTACACAATCTAATGATTACATATCGCAATATGGAAGTTTCTTTACTGTTTAATTTGAACTACAAATGTCATTTAAGTATCTTAAGAGTCATCACTGGGTTTTGTTGTAGCATGAGTACAATGTGTTTAACTACTTCTCTAACACACCTTCTGAGAACTGGGAGTCAAGACACAGGTTTTCTGCCTAGCTTACCTGTTAACACAGTGCTTTATCTAACAATCGTTATGGCCAGAGGGTGAGTGCCTGAAGTAAACCAGAACAGCAGATAGTATACTGTAGTTGAAAGTGCTGTATATGCACGCATTCTGCGGCTTGCTTAAATGTCCTACAAATAGTACAGACCTCAGAGAACAGAACTTGGTGCTGAAGAACTGCAGGTTCTTAAATTTCTAATGCAGGGTCTGTTCCAAGCAGTCAGGGTGGTGAGGGGCCAGCGTTTCAGGCTCTCTGTAAGAACGTTCCCATCGCACCCCGTGGCACACGGTGCTGCTGTGCACGCTGAGTAATTGAGCGTGTGAATCCAAGTGGAATGCAGGTTACTGCGAGGAAAATATTGCTTTTACTGTTGTAGTTAAGGACGCTTTCTCGATACTTATCTTGATAAGATGACCTTGAGTAATCTGACTGCAGAGATTCATTTAAGATCGCTCTGTCTCTGATACTTTTCTGCACTGGTTTGTTCCTTACTGTTTTAAAGTCTTTTATCCTAATTGTCAGTTCTTTTAGCACTGTGGCATTTCCACCATGTTGTCTGTACGTAGGGCACAGTATTAGCAGGAGGAGATAGGCACAGGTGCATCCTAAGGCATGCTGGTGGTAGCAGGCAGACGTTAGGGTATGAATGCAGAATGCTCTTGTCCTGGAGCAGTGATCGGCGAATTATTTATTGTAACGGTTGGATGGTGCAGAAGTGGGAACAGGACTGGATTAAATGGGAGGAGGAGTTTGGCACTGCCTTGGGGAAGCTGTGGAGCTGTGCTGGGATAGAGGTGGTCCTTGTTCTCCTGACCAGTTTTGAAGAGTGTTCTGCTTTAGAAACGAGCAACAAGAAGTGTCTTGTTCTTTCGGGTGCAAATATCGGAGAGGCCATCACTTCACTGTGGTGCCATTAACTTCCACACAACCCTTCACAAAAGTGAAAGATTTTATCTGTTTCAGTGGAAGCTGGGGGCGGGATAGAAGACATGAAACAGAGTGCTCCAGACGTGTCCCAGCCTGGAAAAATTTACAGTTTTAGGTTTGCTTTCAAAGTTTAGAATAACCCTGAAAGAAACCACAGATCATTAATGATTTCTATTAAAGATCTCATTATAAAGTAAGCAGATGATTCAGACTTGTTTGGAAATGCATTTTTATTGGGGAAAAAAACGGCAGTGTATTTTTAGTTGTCTGGGCTTTTTATGAAAAGACATTTTGTTCTGCAGATTTACTATTGAGTTGCTATATACTGTTTGTAATATAAATAGCAGCCTAGCAGATTGTCGTTCAGAGGAAAAGATTCTGAAAAGAATTACCTTATTTGAAAATTACCTATAGAGTATTATCACGTATACAGAAGGTACAGAAAAACTTAACTTTCTCTTAACTTTGAGAAGGGTGGGAAGGGAATCTACAATAGGAAGGCCAACAGAGTTTTGCACATGTAAAACTTAAATGTTTTCACTGATGCAAAGATTTCTAGCACAGTTTGATCAAGTTTTGTCACTTCATGTGGTGCGTGGTTCCCAAGTATGAAAGTACCAGCGTTAGGTCAGGAACTTTATATTGCCCTTTGAATAAGGCACAAAATATACGGCACGCACAGATTATGAAGAGATGTGTACTTAAACTGGGAGACAGTCTGGCATTATCCCATTTTGCACAGAGTTGTCTGAAAGGAAATGATTTCCTGTTAAGAATGGTTACAGGGAAAGGAAAATAATGAGTCTAAATAACACCTGTTTCTAAAAAAGAAAAAAAAAAAGCCCACAGCTGATCTCATGCAAAATTGTATACAGATGTTCTTATTTTGGTTGAAACACAAGTTCAGTATCGCCTACTTTTAATGACTGAAAGGTCTAAAGTAGCATGTGTTGTAGTTTTGGCCATCTGTATGAGATCAACAGGTATCAAATGTTAGTAGGATATGTGCAGTAGTTTCATCTTTGAGGAAGAATGGGGGGGGTGGATTTAAAAGAACCAGTTTCTTATTAAACACCAAAAAAAGTCAAATATTTATATTCAAAATAATCGGTGGGATATTTTTTTCATGCTGAAAGAAGCATGCTCAGAAGGACTCCATTCTGAATCCCTTCAGCCAAAGGAAGTGTTGACAGTCTGTGAACAGAACAGAGGTTTCTGGAGCTAGCTGGAAGAAAGGCCAAGAGAAGGTGTCGGTGTTCTTGGAAGAGACTGACGAGCTTTATCGTGGAATGATGCCTAGTGGGATGTTCAAGTAATTCCTGCCCTCCCTCTGCTCTTCAGGCTGGACTTGAGAGACTAACTACAACCCCTTGCCGAGCCGTCTCCTCGGTTGCTGAGCGATGGTGCATCTTGGACTCTAGAGCAGTCTCTCATAACTCGTGTAAATGTCCCTTCTCTGACACTTCCGAAGACGCCACAGTGCTACTTCCAAACAGAATTTTATTGTTTTCAGATGTTTCCGATTTTTGACAAAATCAGGTCTCAGCAGGAGGCAGGTGTTTTTCATTATTTTAAGTTAAATACTGAAGCTATCCAAAGATAGCAACAACAATTTTTTTTAGGGGAGGGGGAATAGGAAAATTCAACCCTGCAACTCCCTTGTGTTATTCTAATCTGTACTGATAGCAAAGCCCTTCAACAAACATGAGATAGAATCTAATTTCACTGAAATGTTTGTTTTGGGAGTCAAGTTCAAATTTTGATTTGCCAAAATTCAAAGTTAAAATGATCACATCGTTACAGCTGAGCCATTAATAGGGATGATTTAGGATTAGTTCTTTTTCCCTTTACTGTCCGACATCACTTTAGCTTGTTCCACTCCCTTCCAAAATCAGTTGTCAGTAATTTGCGCTTCTGCAACTTATTGTATAACACTTAGAATCCAGATAATTCTTTCTGCTCTCCTCAGAAATACTGACACAGGTAATCTGAGATTTGATAATGTTTTTCCTAGCTTATACAAGGTGAGACTCAAATGACTTGCTTAGGCCTCCATTGGGTCCCTGCTTATTTGTGCCGGCTCTCAGATTCCCCCAACACACACATCTGGAAACATAAACATGTCCTTCTGAGAGCATTCTTTTTTCATTCTTGCTTTTCATTCAAAGTGCACATTGCAGATAGTTCTTACTCACAGGAAACCTGCTGGTATTGTATATTAAAATTGCTGTATTGCATTTATCAGATGCTTTGTACATTAGATGGATTTTTTTAAAAAAAATAAGATTACTAATAAGTATTAGTCACAGACACTAGTGGAGAAGTGTATCTGCATTACTTAAAAATAATTAAAATAAAGGTATATAAGGCATCATGCCAGTAGGTCCCATGTATATAAGCTTTTTTTCTCCTAATCCAACATGCCTAAAATAGTTAAATATATTTGAATAATACATTACTAGAAGTAGCATCACACCTTCTGGCCATATTTTGAGAGGAGAAAGGAGGTTTTGTTCTGTTTTCTTTACCCAAAAGAGGAAAAGATTAGAGAATCTTGGGAAGGGGAGTGGTCTTGACGATTAGAGCATGAGTTGGGAAACGGAGTTTTGTCTTTGCCATTTGCAGGAGTGACAGAGCTCGCTGGATTACAGCACTTGGACAGGACAGAGACGGGCAGAAAACGGACAGGACAAGTGAGTTACATCAGGATTTCCGAGAGCTTTGACACGAGAATGGAAATGCACCGCCCCTTAGCGGGGCCGGGAGCAAGTGCAGACTATAAATACCCTTAGAAATGTTGCCCCTTTCTTTTCCCGGGCTGCGTTGCTCTGTGTATGTGGCGTTGCCATCCCTTCCTGTGCCCAGGGGCTGCTTTGAGGGGTGCTGCTTCGCACAGTAATTTCCGTTCGCGGTCCTTAACGCTGGTTCAGTCAGTAGTTTCAATCTGTTAGCAAGAGTGCAAAGCCCCTTCCGTGTGTGTTTATCCCACGTTTGTTTGTGTGGAATTGCTGGGGTAGGAAGCCATTTGCATAATTTGCTGCCTCCCTTGGTTTTTTTGGGGGGGAAGTATACTCAAAGATGGAAATTTTAAAAATAAATTGTATGCATATTTTAATGAAAGATGCTCTGTTATGTGAATTGTTTAATTCAGCCTGGCCTATTTCTTCCACAGCTTTGACTCAGGTAGAGATCATCAGAACTTACACAGCAAAACAGTCAGATGAACTGTCTCTTCAAGTTGCCGATGTTGTTTTGGTTTATCAAAAAATGAATGATGGTGAGTGAGAATTTTGCTGTTAGTGAGAATTTTAACCATCTGTCACTGCAGGTGAATCCAGCTAGAAAAATTTGTTAGTCCTAACAGCATTGTCTGTACAGTGAATAAAGGTTTAGCTTCCAGGAAAAACTTGAGCGTTTCGGTTCAGGTTTCTAAAGGACAGCCTCTGTTTAGGCAATGGATGTTCAGAGTAACTCATCACCTGTCGTAACTTACATAGGTAAATAGCTGCGGAAAGTGTGTGCTGGTTGGTTTTGACATGTGAAATGTCCACAAATAAGAAATTGAATTCTACCTAAAAACACGGAGCTCAGACTTGGTTTGTCCGAGGAAGAGAAACATACACATTACTAGTTGTGTCGCATACTGTGCTTCACTGCCTGTTACGTATAGGTGTTAGCACAGTGGTGTTGCCTAAGTTTTCCATAGCATCAAGCACCCTGAGATCAAAACTGATCCTTGCCTGGACGTGCAAGTGATTCTGCTAGTCACTCGTGGTGCGCTGACTCAGTGATGCTTGAAGCTGTCAGCACCTGAAGTACCGAGTCCTAACTTAATGTTATCCAATATAATGTATGAAATCAAAGATCCTATCAACTGTGCTGCATTGCTTTCTTTAGATTACAGTTATATTCTTTATATTATTTCAAACAATATATTTTAATTACAGTATTAAAAATGTATTACACTTGTTTCATATAATATTTATTTTTACATACTATTTTGTTCCTAGTCTGTTCATGCAAAAAAAACCCCAAACCCGCTGAACCTATCTTAATCTGGTACTTTATTTGCTACAAAGGTAAATGTATAACGTATGCGATGACGGTGTCAAGTGCAACACACACAGTTCTGACAAAGTATCTTTAACATTACTTGGAAAGGTTTGTTACTCCTTGTCTGTTCACCCTTGCAGGTTGGTATGAAGGAGAACGATTGCGGGATGGCGAAAGAGGTTGGTTTCCCATGGAGTGTGCTAAAGAAATCACGTGTCGTGCCACAATCGACAAGAACATGGAGCGGATGGGACGCTTACTTGGACTCGAAACCAACGTGTAGACTGGTTTTGCCTCTGCGTACGATGCTGCAGGATTTGCACTAACTGCTGTCAGTGGGGGCACGGGTGCACGCCCTACAGCTCTTGCATGGAAGATGTGGGTCACCCATGCGAAAAACCTAGTAACGGAGCACTGATGTTTTGGATCCTCATCCCTTTTTGTCTTGAGAGCTCTGAACTGAAACCTGGGCTCAACCAGTAGCAGATTTCAACTAGAAGCTGTTTCTTAGGGACTGGAGATCAGCCATGCATCTCTGACTCAAATTTCAGTTTCAGCTTTAGTTCCTCCCTCCCTGCCTCTTTACGTATTCTTTCTCCATCTGTTTTTGAGCAGTTCTGACTTTCTTTCAGAAGCAGAACACTGTAGCAGTCTGCGTAGAGACTGAACACCAGAAACTCGCCCGATCCATTGAGCTGGAGGTGAACAGCAATATTGGGGGTTTCCCCACTCCTAAGAAACTGCAGTGTTACATGCTCAGTACCGGAGAGTAAGTTAATGGGATACTTCCCAGCTGCGTCAAAATCTGTGTGTAACCTGAACCGCCATAGCCAACCCTGTAATTCATAAAGGACTACCTCTCCAGCACAAATCCAGGGACGTCCCAGGCTTCGTAAGAAGTAAGTAGATCACGGCAAGCAGTGTTGGCAAAGCTGACACAAGCTCCAGGGCAGAATCTCCAGCAGTGCCTCCAGCGGTGGTGGGCTCTCTTACAGTGTGTTACTCATTCAGGCAGCGCAGACTTTTTCTCCATCTAGTGCTGCAGCGGTGAAAGGATTTCTGATAAGCGAGAAAGAAGTACCAAACTCTGCAAAATATATAATGCTGATTATCTTGTTCTGAGATCCATTTTTAGCACAGGTATTTTAAACGAGTATCACTGCTGGAAATGTTTCCGTTTTCCCCATGTGTTTAACCGGGTCTTCATATTAAGTCACTGCTTCAGAGCAAGGGTGTTGATGGGGACTGCAGAAAACATGAAATACTTTGTGCTAGGTTTGGGGTGTTTGTTCTGGGTCTTTTAGTCTTTCTGCTCTTCTGTACTAGAGGAGATTATTTCCTTCTGTGGAGGCAAAAAGTTCAACTGAACTTCAGTTTACCTACATCTTTAGCATTTGTTAGCATCATGTTGAATCCACAGGCAAAAAAAAAGAGGGAGAAGGAAGATCTGTTGCATTTTGTTAAGGGGCCAGGTCTGCTCATCTCCAGTGTATCTAAATGGTAAGACCACCACTGAGGAAAGACTTGGAAGTAGACAGCTCAGGACCTTGACTGACTTGGTATTTTGTTCTCTTTGCCTTCCCCTGCTGCATTGTGCCTTGATGGCAGTGGATGCTTCAGGCAGAGACAAGGAGGGAGGGGAGAGCGCGATAAAATAATACTCGGACCTTGCTTTCAGAGGAGCTCGCGTTGGTGCTGCTTCACACATGCTCTTCTCTGCTTTAGAGAAGACTTCTCACAATTGCACTACACACAACACCTGCTAAATTTTTGCATCTGCAGTTTAGCTTTGGATTTCACAGAAAAAAAACCCAACCACTTAATGTTGTGTGAACAAAATGCACTCAAAAGTGAAATAAAGTTCAGTGCATGTTTTCTGTATATAGGTGTGACAGTTTGTGTATAAAAAGCTTCACCTTTTTAAGGACCAGCTGATAACTCAGCAGGGTAAAATACATGTTCAATAAAAATGAGGGAAAAATGTGTAGTACAAAGGCTTTCTTCTTGTTGCGTTCCCTGTCTTTTTTAAGATGGCTGTATATTGTTTTATATACTGTAACATGTTGATTCAATTTGTGAATTAATTGGATGTTTATAAATATGTATCATCTCTAACAATTTAAAACATACTAGGAAGGCAATAATTTTGTACAAAAATACTTACCTTGACAGTCTGACAGTGGTTATACAGCCGTGTAAATTAATTTAAGTGGACTGATAAAACAGTAATGAGAAACTGTAAATCGAACAAAGACTTATTTAACATAGTAAAAATACTGCTAATACTTTAACAAATTTTATTGTACACAGGCAGATGTTTAACACATAACTGAATGTATAAAGCCAGAGATTAATGTTATTCAGAGTTTTTTTAATACATTGTATATATTTTTCATAGCTAGTTTTTCCAAAAATGCTGTAATTTTTTTTTTAAAGACTTTTTTTTTTTTTCATTTTTCCTATTGTTGGACACAGTTCTTCAGGAATTAAAGAATTCCATGATTTTATAGGACAACAATCAATAAAATGCTTTTAAATCTTTACTAAAAAAAAGCTTCAGTTTTTCATTAAGAAATACTGTTAAACTGCCAGTTGTTAATGTCATTCTTGTCAAAGAAATTAAATCTGTTCTGTAACCTGTGCCACTTCAGATTTTGTGTGAAGATAAGTAGCACTGACATGCTACTGCCTTCATCTGTCATAGATCCAGTTCAGTGACATAAAATGCAGGCTGAGGGGAACAGCTTGTCTCCCAGTTAGAGACTGGAGCAGGAGACTGCAACAGGCCCCATGATCTGATACATTTTGTAGAGCTGACTTCTAGAAGGGACTGTGCAGAAAATAATTCAAAATTAGTCAGGAGAGAAGGCTGAAACTGTAGAGCACTCAGGAAGTGAAAATGCTGGATCCAGGTCTTGTGCTGAAGAGGACCACGTTAGTTACTATTAACTAGTTACAATAAACGCTGGAAGCAGCACTTCCTGAAGAGCACTATGTTTTGTAGGGAAGCAGCTGATGCCATCAGTGGTTTCTAAGCTACACCGCTCCACTCAGCACTATGTAATGCCCCCCCGCACAGAAATAAGACACTGCGCCGCATTCTGTTTAGTGCGGCATCAGCAGGTGCCTGGAATAGGCGCCAAGCAGGCACAACTTTCTCACTCTAAATTCCCTCATAGCGCCAACAGTCTTACAAATTTAAGAGAGCATGACAAGCAATTTAGCAAAAAAAGTTTGTACAAACAAGTTTTTCAAAAGCTAAGGGTTCTTTTTTTCTTTTCTAGCAAGACAATATTTTCTTTAGCAAAAAAAAAAAAAAAAAGTCATTAACTCTGACTTGCTCCAAGATGAGCACTTCAGAGGGAATGATCTAAAACTCATTCATTGCTTTCACTAACCAGAGAGAGAGAGAGAGAGAGAAGAGCGAGAGCCCATGTACACACGTGCTCTCTCCTGCCTGAGGAGGATGATGACACTAGTACCGCGCCTTTTTTTTTTTTTTTTAATTAAACAGCCCAACAGTGACTGACAGAATACAGCTGGGAGTTTGTACTGTAAAAATTAGCTTTCATTTCATTTTTGCAGGCCCTGGAATTTGTACCCCTTCCTCAGATGACTTCTCTAATCAGGGTTTAAGCGAGTTGGCCAAAAAAATAAAAGGCTCTCAGTTCCCTGAATCAAAGTTTCTCATTTTACATGCTGCAATTGACCACACATTCTGTAAGGCGGGCAGAAACCATGCGCCATCCCCTGTGCATGACTGGCCTAGCTATTGAGTACCTGCATGGATGTGACTGAAATGTCAGGTTTACACTTACCCCTCACTGAAGCCAAGGCCGAACTGACCATCAGCGCTGCTGGGGAAGGAGCCCGCTCGTCCTGCTGAGCCCGGGTGCCTGCAGTGGGGCTGTGGGCTCCCACAGGCCATCAAGCTGCCCGTCAGGAAACCAGCGCCCACCTGACACCAACCTGCCCCAGCACTTCCACATACGCCTGTGACACAGCCAAAGAATAGTTACTAGCCCTGCCTTTTCCGCTTTTTTTTGTATCACCCCTGCAATATAATAAATGGACCATTTTTATCTGCTGAACTTTTAAAAAAGCAATGCTATAATGCAGCATTGTTCTTGCTTTTTTCATGTCAAAGAACACATTTGTTCTCTGTTGTGCAAAGCTAATTTGCTGAAAATAGAAAGGTAACAGTAGCACCACTTTCGTCAACCTACAAAACGTCATGAAAGCATCTTCATCACATCTACATGCACATACCTTAAACTCTATAGAATATATTCACACAACCTTCTTTCCCTGTATATCATCCTGTTTCTAAGGTAACACACTTAGTCAAAACAAATGGACAGAACACAGGTGTTAGAAACAAACCTGGAGTAAATTTTGATGCCCAGACTGAGGAAATCTGTGGATATCGTGTTTCCCAGGAAGTACACAGAGTTCTTCAGTGGTGCTCTTAGCTGTACTGTAGTCTGCAAATGATTTTCACCAGCTGTATTATAACAACTATGTCATTTAGGCAAGCTGTAGATAACACAAAGGTCTGGAAGGATTAACTACCATCACTGAATTATGTTTCATTCCATAACCTGGAGTTCCAGAAGATGCTAGAAACTCTAACACACAGGCAGAAACAGCCTTCATTAAGTGCACTATGAGCTGGGAAGAGAACCATGCACAGAACCACAAAATGCTTTGGGTGGGAAGGGCCCTTTAGAGCTCCCCCAGCCCAGCCCCTGCAGTGCCAGGGACAGCTTTAACCAGCCCAGGGTGCTCACAGCCCCGTCCAACCTGGCCTGGGATGTTCCCAGGGATGGGGCCTCCACCGCCTCTCTGGGCAACCTGTGCCAGTGCCTCACCACCCTCAGTGTAAAAAATTTCTTCCTTATATCCAGTCTAAATCTCCCCCCTTTTAGTTTAAAACCATTACTCCTTGTCCTGTCACAACAGGCCTTGCTAAAAAGATTGTCCCCATTCAGAGTCTCTTCTGGCTAGCCATATGAAAAAAGAAAGTTAAAAACCTTACATCTGCATTACCTCATAGATTGTTTAATAACCTGATGTCGTGGTTTAACCCTAGTATGCGGCTAAACCCCCCATGGCTGCTCACTCACTCCCCCACAGCGGGATGAGGAAGAGAATCAGGCGGCTAGAAGTGAGAAAACTCGTGGGTTGAGATTTCAACAGGTTTCAAGACAGCTGCACAGGGAAAGCAAAAGCACACACACAAGCAAAGCAAAACAAGGAATCCACTCACTGCTTCCCATCAGCAGCAGGTGTTCGGCCATCTCCAGGAAAGCAGGGCTCCAGCACGCCTAACGGTGACTTGGGAAGACAAATGCCACAACTCTGAATGTCTGCCCTTCCTCCTCTGACCCAGCTTTCATTGCCGAGCTGTACGGTTGGTGTGGGATACCCTGCGGTCAGTGGGGGTCAGCGCCCTCACAGCCTCCTGTGCCCCCCTGCCCGCTCGCTGGTGGGGCAGCCTGAGGAACAGGGAAGGCTCGGCGCTGTGCAAGTGCTGCTCAGCAATACCCGGATTATCCCTGTGCTATCAACACTGTTTCCAGCACAAATCCAAAAAACAGCACCCTACACATGACTATGAGGAACATTAACTCTATCCCAGCCCAAACCAGGACTCCTGACACTGGGAAAAGGCTAATTTTCAAACTCTGAACACCACCAAGGTTTTCTGATACTTTACTGCTTAAAAAAAGCATGTTAAGCAACACGCTTTAAGCACAGCTGGGGAAGTATAGCTAATACTGTTATTTACACATTAGTCACGTTACTTTATAAGTAAACATCTGAGCATACCAACCCACGACCACCTCAGCATGCCTGTCTTCTGGTGGGCGTCCTAATACCGCGGCCTGGTCCTGATCCTCCACAATTCGGAGCGGCGGCGGGGAGGATTTGAGAGAACTGCCGTCTGTCTTTGACATGTTCAGCCAACCCTGCTATTCTTACCCAGATTCTGCTATGGCTACCATTTCTTTTTGCCCTTTGCGTTCTCAGGTAGAAACTTAGCCACCATTTAAGTTCTGCAAAAAGCAAGGAGAGTGAAACTGGCACCACCTGCCCACCCCCCCGCCTTTTAACCCAACCCTGCCAGTAACAGTGCTGCCAGTTCTTCCCCCAAAACCTACACATTTGTAAAGTGGGGCAGCCCACCCTACTTTGCTGTGGTAACCGCCCCCGGCACCGCACACCCCTCTGCCTTAACGCCGAGCAGCCGGCTGCCACCGAAAGGCCGCTCCTCCCTCAGCCTCGGGCGCCATCTTGCTTCCTCTCATACCGGTTGCACCTGTGCTTCCCAGAGCAGGAACCCGAGCTACAGCGCTAAAATCAAGTTATTTCATTCCCATTTCCACAGACGATATCGCTAATTTTCCTTTTTTCCTCCCCCCTCACCCTTCCATTCCACGGCTCGCCTTCAGCCGTGCCGTGGTGCTCCCGCCGCCTCAGACGCCCGCTCACCAGCGAGCTCCTCAGGGCACCTCACGGCTGCCCCGCCATCCTGAGGCGGATGGACCGGCCATCTCCTCGCCTTACCTCTGTCCGCGGGTTCTGGTGGCCTCCGGTGGGTCCCCGTAGCCCTCACGGCCCCCGCCCTTCCCCCCCCAACCGCCGGG